TTTTGAACCGACATTCTTAATTACAGGCCAAGGACACTCCTTTTTTGAATTGGGTAGAAAGTTTTTAAACATATCGTGCCCTTAAATAAAAATCACTTGTAATCAATTAGTGGTTAGAAGGTTCGGTTGTCGTTAAGACAAAAAATACATTTTAAAAGGAGATTATGAAAAATGGATAACTAAAAACCGTATATTAATTGCACGCCAGTGCAAAGGTTAGGATAGGAAATATTTCATATTTTTGGCACTATCCATGTTTTGTGCTGGTGTGTCAGGAGCCTAGCAATAGCAATGTAAACGGTCAGTTAACAATGGCCGTCTCGTGTCTCAGGTCTCAGGATTACATTTGTTTACACAGAGCTGCGACCACATCAGCCTGTGTTACAACACCACACATTGACTGATTAATTAAAGACATTTCAAATAACTAAGTAATCAAAAGTCAATCATAAGCCAATCTGCATAAGTCATAAGTTGTAATCGTAAAAGAATCAAATGTTATATGTCCTGCCCTAATATAAATCTATAAATTCAATAGGTTTGTAATTAGTAAGGTAACCTTAGATCACGTTTCCACCAAGGGATTAACCACGTGACTATGTTTGGCAATCGAACTCGCCATGATTTGTTGTGCTAGTGAAAAAGGCTTCTTAGTTGGAAACGATTATATAATAAGGCGACTTGGGACATTCGGCGTTGAGCAGTGGCAGTGCAAGACAACGTAACGACGCCGCTAAATAAGATTAGCGATGTCTCGCATCATATCCTGCGGACAGGTCAAGTTCTGTGTCTTGTTGCAGGTTTAAAAACATATTTTAATTAGAACGTCGCGTGACCGAAACAGGGAAGGACAGATTGTTTTAACTAAAGATGTCACGTTTACACAGTCACGGGCTGATTTACAATTATTAATTTGTCTCTGTGGAGAAAAATTAAATTCGTCTCGACTTCTGTTTAGTAGTTGTTGCTTAACTACGATACTTACCTTTGCCCATTAAAAAAGACAGTTCGCAAGTCAAATTTGAAAACTAACCTTCAATCGAGATTGAAGGCTGACTTTTACATATGCTGCAAAAACTGTGAAAAACTATAACGTATTGTTCTAACGAAATACCTCAATTTTCTCATAGTTTAATTATAAACATAGTCTAATAAACCATTGTGCTGCCACAAAAACTATCTCATTATAAAACTATGTTCATTGTTGTTCGAATACGTATGTGGTTTGTTTCTCAATGTTGTCTTACTATTCTTAATACATCTAATTTTTAATTTTACTCATTAGATTAGGTTATCTCATAAATAGCTAATATAAAAAATATATAACGTGCTGAACGAAGACAGTAATGAAATAATATCAATTTCTTATTATTTTGACTTTTAGTCATTGTATTTACTTTGTTTTCGTTTAATTTTACAATTTTGACTTCTGTCATTGTATTGACTTCCGGTTTTCGTTCAGCCAATGATGTATAAAAATTATCATTGTGATGACACCGGAACTACGATTTAATATGTAACATAACAGAATCGATATCCGTAACCGATTGTGTGTTTTATTCAGAGAATGGTCTCAAGGTCATGGGAGCGGGGCAGGACAATCCTAACATTACCACAATATGCCATGACCGATGGACTACAGGTCAAACGTATGCATTTTATGTAAGTACAGTCAGGGCAATTCGCGGTGTTCTTTCATAAAAGTTGCCCTGATCTTCACAACGAGATAACCTTCTCTTACAAATAAGAAATTAAATAGTGAGTTGGTAGCAGAGATTATCTTTTGGGCGTTCCACTTCGCCATTCCCTGGTATTGGCGATACCCATGACTTAATAAATTATCTGACCGTAAGCATAAGTCATACTTTTGTTAGCTCACCAGCGCCCACCTGTCAATGTCAAATGTCACAATATTCTATTTATCCTGTATCCGTTATGTCGTTTTTGTTTTTTTATGTCGTTTTGTATGTGCATGTTTAATTAGTGTCTAATTATCCTTGTTTAACTATAATTTAATTAATACGTATATCTGTTTTGTCAAAAATAATGTGACCACAGAGCTACAATGCACTGGTACTATGATATCGCCATCCCTTAGATTAGACTCTTTTTAACTAAATAGAGACTCAAATATGAATACAATGCAAGTGTTAAGCAAATTATGATAACAAGTGACAGGAAATATGTAATGATAACTTCCTTTTAGCTATATCTTATGATTCAAATGAAGATAGATTGGTTTAATGAAATATGACAAAGATTGGAACATATCTTAAATTATTTATGATTTATAAACGCCTCTTCGGTCAGTTAAGGATCACTGCTAGTAGTTATTACACTTGCATGCAAGTTACTAGCACGGGGTACTGGAATGTTTGCTAATTAGCTTGTAAGCCAGCACGATATTTGATTTTATGACAGCCACGAGCAAGTCGAAAAGGAATACGAAGCTTTATTCTGACAATTCTCGTCTCATAAGGTTTTGTGAAATTTCATTTGATAAACTGTTCCATTTAACTAGGGAATAAACGTGTTAATTTGACCCTAAATGTTATTTAATAATATAAATGTGTTTGTATGAATGGACGGATGTTAGATTTTATGACCTGCTAAACCGATCTCGATGAAATTTGGCATATATAGAAGGTATCTATATAGAGTCTGGAAGAACATTTTTTTAAAATTACCAAACTAGTAGTATTTTGAACTGAAATCTGTATACGTTACAAACTAGATAGACTAACATCCTCTGAGCAATTGGAGTTTTTAGTTCAAGTGTAGTTCTCGATCAAGGCTGCGTGACGTGCAAACAGCTCGGTCTAGGTAAACGAAGCAGGAAGTATCCAATTGTGGCCATTAGATGTCTTATAATCACTGCCAACCTGTTTTGCTTTAGCGACATCTCTGCACGAAACGTTGCCATCTCTTTTATTCTTATAAGAAAAAGTGTGATAGAAGTATATTTTTTATTTGTTCTGACAGTTTAAAGTTGGACAAATTACAGCGTGGTACGGTAATATTACTGTCGGAAATTATTATTTCTACTTGAGCTATCTTTATAGCCAATGATAATGCCTCTCTGCTATGTTTGATATTTATAATCTGCTCCCTTAAAGTAATATTCGATTATCGCTATCGCTAAAGTTTGAAAGTAGCGCCAGTGGTGGAGAAATACAGAAGCAAAAGGTTAGCGTGGTAGGGACATGTTAAGAACATGGGGAGATAAATCAGAAAGTGTTAAGAATGAATGTGGATGACTACAAAGGAAGAGGAAGACCGAAGAAAGTATGGATGGATTGTGTGAAAGAGGATATGCTTAAGAAAGGAGTGGATTTAGATATGATGGCTGATAGAGATATATGGAAGAGCAGTACACTGTGCCGACCCTCCATAAGGGATAAGGGCAAGTTGATGATGCTATCGCTGATTGAAAAGTCAAAAATGTATGAAAACGATATTCGATAAGTCACGTATAAATTCTTATACTTTTTGGAATATTTCGTAGATTCTGCTAGCGGCTAATCAAGTCACTCTGTGTAGAGAGGCCAGAATTTTTACTTTTATATTAGACTTAATTTAATTTTTTACAGTGGTAGAGCCCGCTTTAACATCTTCGCACGAATGGGCCGGCTCGCCCGGTGCAATACCACGACCACACAGAAAACAGGCGTGAAGTGGAAGCTATTCCGCGTACAGTCTGATGAGTGTGGTGCCGGAGGCCTAGTTTAGTTCCTTTCCCTTTCCACCATTTTTTTAAGAGGAAAGGATGGGAAGGAAAAGTGGATTTGACGGTGGAGGAGACGCATAGGAGGGGGAAATATCCTCTTTATCTGCGTGTCCTCCTTCGTCAATTAAGGGTAGGCAACGCATTTGCAATTGCGAATGTTTATGGGCAGCGGCCGCTTGCTCGTTTGCTACTTTAGTTATGTTCTAAAAAAGAACTATTACATACCTCTCTTTTCTATCATATTGCTGTCCTTTTTTACCACTTTAGGAGCATTTGTGACATTATGTCACTTAAATTCGGATTTCTCATTATAAAATGAAACAAAAATATTGTGTAATATTTATTTATTGATATACAGTTTAGATCTGCCACAGATAATGTACAAATTGTTCAAAAATTAACATAATTACAGACGACGCGGGGCCGGCGGGGGCGCGGGGCGCGGGGGACACGGTATACAAAAACTATACAAAAATTAGACAAAACAATATTTGGATTAATGTTACACTAACGTATACTATTAAAGCTTACAATAACACACACTAATAACATAAATATATTATTTACAGAATTATACAAAAACATCTTATAATAACCTCGCAACGTTAATCACTGATTTTAAAACTATTGTGTTATTAAGTGAATTTCCAAGGGAACTACGGCATGGCACGATGTGGAGTGTATGAATTGTATGAATTAAAATAAGTCACACAATAACGTTCGCAATTCGAACTACAAGATAGCTGTTGAACTAAAAGTGTAACTTAGAAAAAATAATTATTTAAAAAGATTAGATGTTCCTAAACTTTATCTAACAGAACTTTTAAGTAAACAAAATCATTAAAATCAAGTGATAATGCAATTTCAGTGCTAATCAATAAAAAAACAATAATTTTCATATCTCTACGGAATAATAATTACAATATCACAAAACTCATGAGTTCCACGATACTCGTAAGTTTCGCGACACTCATGAGTTTTACGATACTCGTTGAGTTTTATGAAACTCAATTTTATGAAAATGTTTCACGGTGATTTGGTACAAAAGCGTGCATTGGTGGACTCAGTACTCGCTGAGTCTCACTGACGTTTTGGTGCGGGGGTGCTGACGTCACGTCTATGACGTCATCGAGGGTTACTTCCAGGTTATATACCTAGCTCGGAATAGACGGAACCTAGAAATATTCTTCCCTTTTAAGATACGTAGTAATATAAATTCTCTCAAAAATATAGTAATTATATTCATTATTTAGATCTTAGTAACATTTTATATTAAAAATTAACTTTTTTTAGTATATTTGAATATTGTCCAATTACGTAATATTACGGTATATTAATTGAACACATTATATAGTAAGGTGGAGTCAACAAAATATTATTTACCGTTTACATAAAGTCCTTTCCGAAAACTAATCTTAACATTTATATTAGAAATCACATTTAATATTGTTAATTAAGTATTACAATGAAATATTAAAACTACCGTAGTTTAGTCTTCGTGGGTATACACGTGGGGTAGTTTGAAAATGTTAGTGGTTACAACATTAACGGATTAATAGTATTTAATAATTGAATAAGTCTAGATTATTTTAGAAATTGGACAATCGTAAAGTGTCAAATTAATTCAAAGTGAGATGTGACAAATTGAATTGGAGCCTTTTATTGAATTCCAGTGGCTTGTAATTTCCGTAGTGTGGTGCGAGGAGTCAGACGCAGGAGTACTTGGAGCCATCATCAGCGGAGTAGCAGTGGTGGCAGTGCAGACGCGAGGCGCGCACGCGCACGTCGGCGCCGTTGCGGCCGTCGCCGAGCCGCGCGCCGCACACCGCGCACGAGAAGCACCACACGTGGTAGCAAAGAGATAGAGACTCGATTATCATGGCTGCGCCGCGACCTACCGATACACACGGGTTAATAACTAGTTAGTACCGTGCTGTAGAATTGGCGCAACTCTAGATTATCGGCATAAACGTCACGTCCCTAGCTGACAGCTGTCAATGTCATTAGAAGGATGATTTGCGCACATCCAAGTCCTGACGAGTGTTGCTCTGAGTTTAAAGCGACAGTATCAATTAAATAATAGTTTTAGACAACTTATACTTTTTTTAAGTTTTTAAGCTAGCGCTTGGATTACTTGTCCTTCATTACTTGGACAGTAATGAAAAACAGAAATTGAAAGCTACTGGCCAAGTGTGAACAAGGTGTGAAAAAGAGAATAAAAAAATGAAAGCATAAAGAATAAAAACAAAAAAAATGAAATAATGCAGTTGCTGCAATAGGATAAAGCAGCAGTAATGAAAGTAAATTAAATAAAATAAACAAGGCGTAATAACATAAGCTGCTAAATAAAAAAGACACTTTTATGTAATGTCGGTCACTCAAACGCTATTCCGGCCGTGTCTACGGACGAGGCCGGAATGGTGTTTAAGTTAGATAACTGAGTTTTGTTATTTTAGTCTTATGGGGCGTTATCTCCGCTTCGTGACAAAGACCCCAGTGAATATAAATAAATAAAAAAGTAAGTGTCTCTCTTAATTTAGTATGAAAGCAACGTTATATCAGGAATAATGACTGAAGGAAGGTAGGCAATGCATCTGCAAATTCTGATGTGTTAAATAGTATTCGATTGTATTACTCTAACTTACCGAGTTCCTCTCCGCAGTGGGAGCACTTCCTCTTGCCGCTAACGCTGAGGACATGCTTGTCGTCCCTGCCCTCCCTGCCCTCGCGGCCCTCCCGCACGCCCCGGAAGTCGGGCGGCAGCTGTTGTTGGCTGAATCCATTAATATCTCATTAAACTCTTTTATAACATAAATTACCTACAAAAATGTCTAGCAAAAGATGTTTGTAAGTGGCTGGGAAACTACTAAACATTATGAAACTGAAATATAATAGATTTTTTTAGCATAACACCGATATTCAAAGCATGGTTTGTGATATATTACTGAGAAATAGGCGTCGCTAGTTGATGTAGGTAGGTGTAGCTACGATTCCCCCCACTCCTTTGGAGACGCCCACACTAAGGTTTCGTCACATTTGCTACTATCTACTATCTATAGATGGAGCGGAGGCTATCTACAAAGCTTTCTACTGAATGCAACAAGTCGCTCACGCTCATATTTTGCCTAAACATCCTCGATGCCGTTTGGACTTTTAAACTTTTCTCAGGCACAGGTGGTCTATAAAGTATGAAAAAGTTAACGTATGTTTTCGATATGTTATTCAATTATTTTGGATTGTATTTTACCTTGTAGTTTGCAAATGTCGTGTTTGATTGGAATTGTAAATTGCATTTTGTGTGCCGTTGTGTTGCGCGTGCTTGCTCGGGGGCATGTAGGGTTGGGTTTGGGGCAAGATGGGCTGACTGTGGGTCACGTGGGGCACATTATGGGGCACGCTGTGACCGTCATGGTAAGAGTGGCGCTGGTTAGCACGCATCTTATTCTTGTGCTCTTCTATCCGACGATGTTCTGCTTCCTGGAATTGATAATACGGAGATATTTAAAAAAACTATTATTATTTAATATCAGAAATGTACACAAAAAGTGCTTAAGTAATCAAACAAATGATCGTGTCAGTTAAATTCAAAACAATATTTCTTTTATAACCGTGATCAATAGATGGCGCTACTCATCAGTATAGATCACGCTCATGTTTTGTTATGTATTTACTTACTTGTATGAGCCAGTGCTGGTTATAGTTATAGTTGGCGGGCTGTCTGCTCCGCGCCTGCAGCCACTCCTTATTGGATATCAGCTTCGGTGTCGGCGCCGCGCTCAGTGCCTACACAACACAAATAACATAAAAAAACACAAATTATGACGTCACGTTGACTGGGAGAAACTGCTACGTACCTGTAACGTATGTCTCGTCATAGGGTGGTATTGTCCATTGCTGTTGCCGTTTAAATTGCCGTTAATGCCGTTGGGTGTCGGTTTATGCCTCATTTGTACGTTAACGTATTCGACAGCTGAAGGAACGCGGCTGCTCCTAGAACAAAAGAAGATTCATATACGTGTTGTCTTACGAAGATATGACGTCATATTTGAGTTAGATAAGATTATGATATCTGAAAGATCTGCTATTTACATTGACAAATGACAATCAATCACTTTATCATACTTTTCAGTATTTTTAAAAACTAAAAACAAAAGACGATGTTAAGATCGACGACATGTTGTGAAACAGTTATATCAAGTCTTGTGAAACATCCATACTTGTTCAATACTAAATTATTCAGAGAATTCTACACTTAGCGACTTCCTTTTTAAATAATTAAAATCTGGTACATCAGCTTACTACTTTACACTTATGGCAAAAAATTGTTAAATTATACATTTGATTTAGATAGATAATTTGATTTACAAACCTCATGGTAATTTCCCTTTCAATAGACTCTCTGCTCCTCGGTTTTGGAGGCAATACTGGTTGCCGTGGAACGCTGGTCGCGACCCTCCTCTCAGGAAACTTCCCCTTGTCCTCATACAGAACTTTCCTACTCTCCTCCACACCGAAGTGACTCTGAATATGTTCTTCTGACACGAATGGCTTCCGTTTCATGGTCTCATCGTAAACAGATCTTTCTGGAACCTTCGTTAATGGTGCTGGAGTGTAGTTTTCGTTCAACAATAGATTTGGCATCGAATGCCTATAGTTTTGGTTAGCTTTTTTTATTCTGCCGACTGGTGTCTTATCTGTAGTGTTCGTGACACTCGATATATCCTGTACTGACTTTTGGATTATTCTATTCTGATCTCTGAGTAGATTCTCCCTCTGTCTTCTTAATTCTTCTTGCTCTAGTTGTAGTAGTTCCCTTTCGAATCGCAGGACTTCCTATTGGTAGGTTCACATTAGTATGTTATTCTGTTTTAGCTGGTCATTTTTTTTTAGTAGCAATAGAGTTACGTGCAACAAGCTGCGTGGTTTAATGTATGATGAAATGGTAGGACAGTATTCAGTTGTGAAATTAGTTGGGTTTTATACCGAAAATTGTCACTAATTAAACTAACATCCGAAAATAATTTATGTTTAGTTTATTTATAGTTATTTACATTATTTGTGGATGATAGTTAAATGCTTATATGTTTAGCGTAAAACATGTCAGTCACCTTGGTATGAGAATCATCAAAGTGCCCGTCAGGCCAGTCCTCGTTAGTGCCGGCCGCCTGCAATGCACGCCACGGCGGCCATCTTGTTTAATGTTATTTACACAAAATGGCGGATGATGACGGAGCATTAATTTATTAAAACGTCACACATATTATAAAAAGCATTATTTGTGTTGAAAAAGTAATGCAAACGTATTAAAAATAATTGCAATTATAATGTTTTATATGAAGTGGTTATAGATTTAGCCATGCATTGTTTTGTGAATGAAATAGGAGCAAATAAAAGTCATTATCATACTGTGATATAAATAATTTTATTGCAAGGAAATACTACAGATGCGTACAAGCTTTAGACTACTTTCTATAAATCACTTTTCAAACTTAACAATATAAAAATCAAATCAGACGTAATCGAAAGTATTAAAAAGCGGTGCGGGGTTATTTTAGCAGTTGAGTATATAACATTAACCGAAACCAAGTTAATCGATTTTGTATTAAGCAATACAAAACAGTTATTAAAAAATAAACAATTGAAATACTAAAAGTAATAACTAAAAAAATACTGCTGCATACAAAACCATTCAAAACAATTGATGGGGAAACTCCCGACACCAGAATATATACAATATCCCTTAAATAATATAACATTATTCGACTATTTTATTATGATAATCAAAACATAATTACGAACCTACAATTATAATTCCAAAGTACTAATATAACATAAAAGATTATTCATACCATTCATTTAAAATTTACAATAACTAAAAAGGATTTATATAAAACAAAATAAAACGCGAAACTCTTCAAGTAAACGTTTTCAACAAAACGAACTGAAGGTGCAATAAAATTGAAACAGAATAATTAAGGGCCAAAGATGCTACCTTGGGGCACTCCTTGTAACTAGCGCCACCATATGTGAGATTTAAAACTAAAACTTCCTTAAAACAGTTCAGTTTATTCTCACCTGTTGTTGTTGTAATTTTTTATCCAAACTTTCTATTTTTGTTTCATTATCTGTGGTCAGTGTATTAAGTTTAGTTGTTAAATCTTCAGTGAAGTTTTCCGTTTTCTTTGCTGTCTCTTCTTCGTCTGAAGTTACAGTAACATGGGTGTAAGGCTGAAAAACAATTTAAGAATATGTATTGAAAAAGAAACTACGATTGACATGGTAGCATTAATATTAGGCTAGTCTTGAAGAAAATGCTAAATTGCTCGAAGGAGACTAAAGAAAAAAGAGACTAAAGCTCTTGTACCATTAAGAATATTGATATATGCACATTGTTTAAAAATAAGTGTATTTTACCTCACTATTTTGTCTGCTGTGTGGATTAGAAGTCTCGGGTGAAGAGTGTCCTTTATACCAAGCTTCAGCTGATGGACCCCTATCTATATCCACTCCTGAATCCCTGCTGTCTCTCAACTTAGCGTCCATATCATGAGATAAAGTCTTCTTGTATAGCAACTTCTCGATTTTAGTCTCCTCTTGCAAGAATGATGTGATATCAGGACGTGGGGCTAAAGTCAGATCAGCGTCTAAATAACTATCATCAACTTGACCTTCTATACCGAGGAAAGAAGTTCGTTTGTTCCGGATTTCCTTCTTGATACGACGAGCGGAACTTGTGTGTTTGAAATTACCCTAAAATTAGGGAAATGTTAAACCTTAAAAGCACTAAATGTATTGATTTGTTTTATAATTTACAACATTGAAATAAGTTATTAGTCATTATCAGCTTATCGGTTATCAAATATTGCTTGTCAGGTAAGAAATTACGCACAGATACTAGTTGCAAATATTTGGAATATTTGTGTTCGATAAATCTCAGAATTAGCTTCCGGATATATTACTCAATATCGTAAAATAAGAGTTTTAACACATTCAATGCCATCAGCTCCTATGACAGTTTATGAAAATGATAGCATTGCACGTGTTAAAAATTAAAAATGATCATTATTATCATTATTATTAAAAAGTACATACATTTCCAAGAAGTTCATCTTCCGTAGTTTCTTCTGTGGGTGGTGGAGGAGGCTTCTCTTTAGGAGGTTCCAGAACATTAGTTGGCAAGTCTAATGGGAACGCACTTGTGGCATCTACAGTATTTTGGTAGAATATATCTATATTTTCATATAACGGCGTCACCGACACTTTTTCTATATCAAAATCAAGTAAATCCTGTTTAGATTTCCCTTCGATCTTGTTTTCTTCTGTTTTTATTTCTTCATCCATTTTGCTATCACTTGCTGCACTGTCTTCTGAATCAAGTTCTTTAAATGCTAATTCTAAAGCATCAATTACCTGGAAATTGTCAATTGTAAAGTTAACATACATAAGTTCATTAAAAACGAGAATATTTTAGAACAAAGCTAAAATATAACAATGTTAACTGTTTTTCTTAAAACTATAAGCTATTTGGATAGTAAAAATTTTGCAACGAATCAAAGTAAGAAAAGAAATCTAAAGGAAGAGAAAATTAGTAATTCTTACAAATATAAAGATGCATGCATCAAGCAGGATTAAAATATTAGCTATGCAACTCAAAATGCAGCGAAAAATGAATATAAATGTTAAGATTCTGCACCACAAACTGACCTTACCTCGAGTTAACCCATCACCAAAAGCTGACGTAAGATCCTAATGAAAAAATCTTAAGATGAAATTTAAATATGAGAACATCACAGTAAGCGTTCGTAACAGACTGAGCCTACTAAGCCACAATCACAAGATATGGCCATGTTTGATTAAGATATGCCTCGCATAGATAATATTATCGTAACTCAATAGCACGATTCACCTAAGAATAGTAAAATGTTCAATATTATGTTAGAGGATAATTAACAAATGGTTTAAATAAAACCCAAACGTAACAGTGCAACATATATTTTCGATAATGATTTTACAAATATCACGTTCGAGAACATTACTAATGGATGCGAAATACGATCTAAAATTCGATTTTTATGAAGGCTATAAAACCCTGTTTTTACTACGATTACAAATGATTATTTTATATGGTCAATTAATTATTAATGTTTTAGCACAACGAATTATGTGATGTAAACGACATATGGAACAAATGACACGAATTAGTACAACTAGAGTGACTCTAAACATATAGATAAAACGTGATCAGTGGAAGACTGGTTTAGACAAAAGAGATCATAAAAGTTCTAGAAAAATTATTGCCTATGTCATCTTTTCTCATCTCACTTGCGTCACGCAATTATGAGAAATAGAATAGGAATATAATCATATCAAAGTCTTTTAGGCTTTTATTACTTTTGGCATTGGTCGCTAGTAGCGTTTACTGAAGACTTGTTATTAATAAATAGAATAGTTTTCCTTCTATTAGGCTCTAGGCAGCGTTTGGTACGTTTACGCCAAAAAGGATTGGAGTCTTGAGTATTACTGGGTGTGGAATTTGTGTCATTGTTTGTGCTAATGTTCTCACTTTGTTCTGCAACGTGGTTAGTTGTAAGGACTGGTGAAACAGACTCGCTGAGACCTTGATCTGAGCTTTGATGAATAGGTGATGTTAATGGTTCTACTTTATCAGTAAGCGTTTGATTATTGTTAGTTAATTTTAGCGTTTTAATGGAATTCTTTGGTGAAATGTTAGTAGTAGTAGATATGTTAGAGACAGTTACCATTGGCATGCTTTTGCTGTTAGTATTAGAGAGGTTAGTTTCGTTAATATTAAGATTGTTCCCTTGACCAGCGTTTAGACCGTTGCATATTTCATCCAAGTTTAAATGTATAGTCATTTTTCCCTGAAATACCACGGTATCGCCTTCCGAGGTAGACACGGGATCATTTAAACTTACACTGGAGTCTTGATTCTCTAAACTTTTCAATGTGTCTTCATCTTCTTTGTCAAGTTGAATTTCTGTGATATCTTCGGTGACACTTAATTCTTCAGGTTGAGACAGCGCTTGAATGTAGTTGCTCCCACTGTCGGTGTTTTCAGTTTTATCTTGTTCGTCAGCTTCTTCCACCCTAGTATCATTTTCTACTGTCAATTCGGATTTAATATTTTTAAGGTGACATTCTTCCATTTTAGTCGATTCTAATCCGATCATATTGTCTTCATTAGAAGATTCGTATTCAGACACCTCAGCCATAGGTTCTCCGATGGGAGAAGCTACTTGAGTGAGATCCGCTATGTCGTCCGGCGGCGCGCACGAATCCCTGGCGGTATGTATCCCACTGTCTTCTGTCTCGATGTCACTAGGGACGGTGTTGTTTTGCATTTCGACACTGTCGAAGTCCTCGAGGCTCTGCACTCTTTCGAACGAGTTAGGCGAAGACTGACCGTTTATATCTAAACTGTCGAGAGACCTACAGAAGCTCTGCATTTGACTTTCTATGCCAGACAAACTACACGTTAAAGACGCCTCGGGCGATTTTTCTTTAAAATTATCACAAGTTTTAATGTCACTATTTTCATTATTGACTATCTCCTCTTCGACCGATAATTTAGGAATTTCCTTATTTTTGGCAGCATCGAGGCAAGAAAGCCGTTCCTTTAAACTCATAGAAACTTGTTTTACGTCAGATTTTGCGACTCTAATTTCTTCCTCTGAAACTTGAGATTTGAGGCTATTCAAGCGTTCTTTTAGAGACTTTGTCGTATTCAACTCTCCGTTGGATAATCTCTTGAATTTCTCAGGTTCCGATGTCTTTATTTTTTCTAATGACGATAATCGTTCTTTCAACGGTTTTACTTCAGATGGCAACTTAGTCAGGTCACTTGGTGACTTTTGTATATGTATTTCTTCTGTGAACTTTTCTAAGCTTGAAAGCCTATCTTTAATTGATTTTTTATTAGTAATTTCAGGTAATTTTGGCTTATTCAATTGTAATTCTTGTGAGTTTTCTCTTTCGAATTGTTCTCTACGCTTGTGGATGTCCACTTTTGGTAAATCTTTCTTGTTATTATTCTTCATATCAATAATTCGTTCTTGTTTTAAGGAGGACAGTTTTTCTTCTATTTTGTTATTAACGGAAGTTCTGATTCTATTAAAATCTCCGTTAGATTTTTCAGGAGATTTTTCTTTACAATTATTATTGACGACCGTTTTAACCATACTGCTGTTCGTCTGTGAAATAATTCTGGATTTGTAGCCCTCGATAGCGCCTTCATACGTGTACTCCTCGGGCTCGGGCGAGCTGATCGTGGTTGTCGTGCAGGTGTCGTATTCGTTGGCACTCGAACCGAACTTGCGGTTGTTACCGCAATTGGACATAGTATCCACGTCCGAGTGGTTTTTATCGAGGTCCATGCCATCGCTCTGAAAACATAAGTTTAAACTTTTGTTATAAAACCTACAATCACAATCTTTACTTCGAGTATCAAAGAGAAAAACGAGTATCGAAGAGTGCAAAGAACCTTGTTACATACAAGGTTCTTTGTATCTGTGAATAGTTAAATAGTTGAGGAGTCCTTACAGCGAGACTGTGAGTGTCGCAGTCCTCGCTGAGGCTGCTCTTGGTGCTGGAGGTACCGATACCAAGATCGCTGAGGTCGTGACCGTCGTCCTCCGTGTACAACGCCAGTGGATTCCGCCTTCTGCGACCCGCTCTGAAAACAAATAGTAATAACTTACTATTTGCTAAATGGTCTTATATGCTAGATAAAATACATCAATAGTGATGATTAAATCAGGATACTTTTATCTGGATGTGAATGTTGTAAAATCTAAACTAATCACGTCAAATATATATATCATCTATCCGTTGAGTCACAATACGTAAAGAGCTGCGATATAATTAGCAGGGGATAGTAATGTCAGCATTGCGTCACCGCGAGCCTGGACTTGACTCACGTGGCTATCTGTGGCCGCGGAAGACCGCACGCCCAGTGTTTACACTTTGAAAAATCTGTTGAGCTAAAGGGAGCAGCCTTGCCCAGACTTAGGAAATATACAGGTGTGGGCCAGTATGACTGATCGTGTTTACATTTAGTAAGCGGATTTTATTACTATGAGTCTCGTTTCTGGCAACAAAATAAGTTTATATTTTTAGATTTGTGTGAACAATATACTTCCTACACCCAGCTTATTCAAGTTATATTTCTGTAATAGCTAAAAAAATCGTGACAATTTTTACACTAACGCCATCTATAACCAAAAAGTTTAAACGGCCTTGATACGTTTTAACCAAAATAGCTTGTTATGTAAAAAAGGAAAGTGGCATTGGTGTATTTGTTTGAACAGGTTCACGGATTGGGGAAGCGTTCGTTCACCGCCGGCTCAAGGCGAATGTCAACTTTACGGAAATGCGCGTATTCCGATATAATCGTAGTATAGGCGAAATTCACAAGAGATAAGCTGTTAGGGTTGTCACAATATCTATTAATAGAATAAGATTTTTTTGTAAAAGAGCGTGTAATTTATAAAATTATTTAGAGAAAGTTTGTATATTAGGTATAGCGAATTAACTTAACTTGGTTTACTTACGAGATCAGTTAGCTTGATTTATGACGGAAGAAATTACAAAGCGACTTTAAGCTGAAATCTACGCTCTACAGTTTAGTAGATGAAAACATTGTTTTAAAACAATGCCCTTGAAGATTACATT